CCAGTCTGTCCACCATCTCCCAAGATATCTAGTGAGGCTGTTACATTATCCATTTATCAGATCACATCTCATTCCTGTTTGTCATTAATCTACGTCACCAAATCAAACAGTAGTGAAGTAAGTGATACATACATTTAAAACTATAAAATAGATAAACCAGATACCATAATACATTTAAACTGTAAAATAAATCAAACAGGAATCGACAAAGAATAATATCCAGTTCGAACTCCATTAGCAATCGTAATTAATTATGCATAACTATTTAATTTGTACAAAATACAGTATAATTATTTATTCAAACTTCACATCTATGATATGAAATAGGGTGATGGATCCTTACTTGATTTGATGTCGAAAACTAGATGGTTACTACGTCTACGGGCGACTCCGGTTTTCCTGAATTTTTCTTTGGGAACTGAAATGCGCTTATGGTACCTACAAGTGTCCCAAATAAACCCAAAAATCAGACCCAGGGCCTACTCGGCCAATTTCGAAATTCTGGCACGGCGGCTCCGTCGTACTCCGACGACGGGTGGCGGCGATCCGTCTCGGGTTAGCTGTTTTCGGCCGTTTTTGGCCGAATTCAGCCGAACTAGCACTGGTTCCTGCAAGAAAATACACTTAAGGCGCTCAGTAGGCTGAAAAAACGCAGAAAACCAAAACTCACCAGTGGTGGGGCTCTCCGGTGCGGCAACTCCTCCGGCTCACGTTGCGGTTGGGTGCTTTGCTTCAGTCAACCTGTAGAGAAGGAAACGGTGGTCACAACGATGAAAAAATACATCGAACGGGAATCGGGAAAGGCCTCATCAGAGGCATTTTCCGAAACACCCTGAGGCGGCATCGCTGAACTTCAGCGGCATCTTCTGGCCAATTGGCCGGTTCTTTCACTCCAATTTGGCCATGGGTGCGTTTAAATTTGAATTTCGTGCAAGAGGAGAAATTTTTACCTCGTTTGGCAGTCAAAAATTGTTCCGGTACGACGACAGGTGGCGGTGGTCGGCTCCCCGGCGGCTGGGCTATCTTCTCCGACGATGGGTTCTGGCGGCTAGGATTAGGGTTTTGGTGCGGATGGGGTTATTTATACCTATCCGCTTTTGATCTGGGTCGTCAATCACTTTTAATCTGGATCGTTCGTCGCGATTCAATCTGGACCGTCCATACGCGCGGAAACGGATCTCAGCCGTTCGATCGCACGCACGTAAATCGCCCACGTGGCTCCCCCGCGTGGTCTCCTTCGTCAGCGCCTCTGCCACCTGGCGCGTTCTGGTTGGTCGAAGTTGCTGACCGAGTAGCTGATGTGGCGTAACTTTTTTAAATTACGTTTTGACCCCCGATTTTTTATTTTTCTTTCAAAAATACCCTCAAACTCCAAATTTTCACCTATTTTTGCCAAAATTGTTTTTAATTAAAGAACTAATTTTTTACCTATTATTATTATTATTATTTTCATTAAATTAAATTAAAATCGTATAAATAATATTTATATTTATATAAAAAATAATAATAATTAAATAAAAATAAAAATAATTAAATGTTAGGTGTTAGACACACACTCACATTTACTGTTATATATGTACATACTTCTATACACATAAAATAATATATACATGTATTTGCACATGCTTAGACGCCTGTAAAATCTACAAACGCACACATTTAAGAAGACGCATGATAAAAACAAGGCTAAGCATATGGAGAAAAAAAGACTTGTGCAAGGAAATCACTATAAGCTAAAATTTTCAATGAGAAACGACATTAAAATTGAAAGGGAAAACATGGCTTGGTTCTAATAAGAATATTAACCCAATCTAACCGTATTATCAATCTGAAATTGGTTTGCCAAACCAATCTATTGATTTTCCAATTTTAGCCCTTGAATTGGTTCTTCAAACTGTAATTCTAGGTCCGAGACCTCAACTCACTCAACAGGATTATATCCTTCACTTCCCTGTAAGGATGTATCATAGTTAGAGGCTTATAAAGGTATAAAACGAACTTAATTAGAAGGGAACGACATATCGTGGATTGACCAACTTTGGTAGTAATTCAACATGTCATCTGCCGAAGGGTGGTCATCACCTCTTCGGTATGCTCTCAACTCGACCTTCTACTCCCTTTTTGTCATTGCACGTTGGTCCTGCTCACCTACTACTACTCTCTCTCTATTCAATTCACTCTGCACCGATCTTCTTCACGCGTGGCTGAAGTCTCTCGATCGCTCCTCTACCTGTTGTTTCTTTCTTCTCTCTCGGATCGACACGATGATTCTTTTTCTTCCTTTTTTGGCCTTTTGGTTCCAACTGCCGTGTCAAACAACACTATCACGCCAATTTGGTCACAACTGGACAGATCACCAGCTGCTGTCGCAGATCTGCCCTATTATCTCTCTCTCTCTCTCTCTCTCTCACGCGATTGGCTGATTGGGAATCTGCCACTCCCAGTCGACCGATGCCCCCTCCTTCCTTTTTTCCCTGTTAGCTTCTTCTCTACCCTCGGGGGAGACAAAGTTTAAGATTATTTTGGACATTCTATGTTTCCTTAAATCTTGGCCATTGGAATCATGCAAACTAAGTTGTTCATCTAATCTTTAAATGCCATTCTTTCCATTTAGGTGGGAAATTCGTTCAAATTTTAGGCGAGAATAGCTATGAGTCGTTTCTTTAAGCAAGATGCGATCTCAGTTGTCCGTTGCGCGATATCTCGGCCGCTGGATCTCCCACGTGCGATCTGAGCCATCCGATCTGTATACTTCTCTCTTTGCCGGCATGGCTTCCACGCGTGCACCCTACTTGTGTGTCCGCCACGTAGCTTGGACACCGATTGGGCTGGAGACATATCACACTCTAACATCTCTCAGTTTCATGAATTTACAAAAAGCCCCAAATTTTGAAATTTTCTTTTCTTTAGGACCCTAGGCTCCTTTTCAGTTTGCCAAAAGTCCCTAAAGTTTTTTATTTCTTTCATTTGGGTCCCTAAACCCCTAATTTATTATGTTTATGGTTTAAATTTAACTTTTAAACTTTTCTTGGGTTTATTTGTCTATAAATTTACCATAATTAAACTCATTTTCTTAGTAATCAACTTTTATTTGCATAAAATTCACAAAATAATAGATTATTTATTAATTTCAATAGTTTGATATTTTAAGTTCTTCCCATTTTCTCTCTTCTAAATTTTATAAATAAAATCACGTGGCTTAATTGTGGGGTTACATAGTACTACGGTGATCTCTGTATCCTTAGAATTGGTAGATAATATGCTATTGGATTGTAGCATCTTTGGCTTCGTCACATGAGTTGGAAGAGGCTAGAGATCTTTAATAAATGAGAATAGTTGGATAGAAAATCTGTATGGAAATTTGTTTTTTGTGAGTTTTGCATAAAGAAATAAAGAAAAAATGAAATTCAACATATGGACACATCCAACCTAGTGTATTATAGGTTATATACAATTATGTGATATAATGGGCAGGCATATTTCATTAATTTCTCAAATAATTACTTTGCAAAATGTTTGGGTTTTACAATACATTAACTAAGGAAGTGATTATTAGAATAAATCACATTACTCTCATATAGCGTACTTATTTAATTAAGTTTGTCTCATATTTATGATTCTATGATTATAAACCTGAAGGATGCAGAAACTTGGCTCTCCATCCTTAATGATATCTATATGTAACGTCCCATCTTCTCCTCGAAGAAGGAAACACTACCACACTGTAACATTCTCCTATGGCGCAACAATCTAATAAAAATTCAAAATCATTTCATCATTTGTACAAAAGTCAATATATGATGCTTTGTCCAGGCCCTTTACAATCAATATTTTATTTCTGATCTATTTCTACAATCCAAAATAACTAAACTAAGAAATATATGCAAAGTCTCCTACTCAGTCTTAAAATTGATTTGAACCTTTTTTTAATCTATAAAGACTGAAAATTTGGGGAGACATTCCACTACTTTAGTAAGAAACGGGGCAGTGCCCATAACATAGAGATGCAACAAACGTTCATACAAATAAAATGAGGTTAAGAAAATTCTAATTTGAAAGACAATCAAAATCATCATCATTTTTGTTTAAAAAAAAAAAAGAAAGCTTGAAAACAACCATAATCATCATCCCTTTTCAATTACCATTTCACAAAAGAAAAAAAATCATTTTTGTAAAAATAATACTGGAAAAACAACAATTACTATCATCCTTTTCCATTTACTATTTCACATATTCCTTTCATTCTCAGAGATACTGATCTCATATTCCATACTCAATCCATAATTTCTTCTACCTTACATATCCAATTCCACATTCCCACCATCATTTCCCAAACATTATTAATATTCCCAATTCAAATTCACATAACACTTTCCAGCATTACAAATATTATTACATAGGCATTTATCAAGTCCACAAACAAAATTCAAATATGCACAATTTTTTGTTATTTAAACATCATTCTTTTTACTTATTTTAGTGTTTCATCGCATGATGATGTTTTTACTAGTATCATTGAGGGCAGAGAGATCCCCTCTACATGTGGATATCAAACAAATAATAGATAATAGACTCGCATTCCTCAAAGGGCTATGGCTACCAGATAACAAATAATAGATAACAGATAATAGATTCCCAACCATGACGTTTCGTATGGGACTTCCTAGCCATGTCTAACTGAAGTCGTATCCACTGTAAGACCACAGATCTCTACTCGCACACCCTCCCTCTCCTATGCACGCTAAACAGGTTTCCTTGTCTTTTAAAGGACCTATTTACTGATTTATAATTCACACATACCTCTAAACTAGATCCTTATTCTAATGCACATTTGCATATATACCCTAAATGCTTACATATTCCAACACATAACTCGTATACACAATACTCACACATTTATATACACTATTTAGATATCTTTATATTAAAACACGAAATGACATATATACATATTTCCATGTACATAAACTAACATACTTTATTCGTATATATATTTTTCTTACAATCCATACATATATACATACAACTGTTAACATATATACATCCACACGGTTTATACATTTAGTCTTAAACATACACCAACTTACATACACACCCAATCCATTAAGCAACCAGCCACGTACAAATATACATATATCAAGCACATGCAATACGTTAAATTGATATATAAGTTTTACATAAATATTCTTATGTTCATCTGCATACATTAAGCACCACATACATATACCATTTATAAGTACAGAGTGCATATAATATATACAATACAACATGCACATATTGATATATGTCTAAATAAAACATATTTGCACCAACATCAATATATATACACAATCACAAAAGGTCATTCACATACAGTGAACATTCATATGCAGGTTTTTATAGAAACTTTATACCAATACATGATTTGAAAATAGCCTACAAAACTTTAAATAATTATTTCAAAATCAAGAAATCATTTTATAAAAATATAAAGTCCCTGAATGAAAACATACCCTATTCTTACAGTTTTGCTGGCTTGAAACATATCCGTGAATCCTCATGAATTTCAGTCCTCAAATTGGTTCCTCAAACCTGGAAAGAAAATTTCTCAATTTGTCAATGTGACCTGACTTTTCTTTGATTTCACATTTCCCCATATAAACTTTTCTCCTCAAATTTCGAAAATGACATGCCAAACTTTCTAACTGGATTCATTTTCTAAAATTATATTTACACTGATTCACCTTGTCTCTCACTCATTCGGCCTATTATCCACCTTCTTATGCCCTCAAGATCCATTTTCCTTACCCATAGTTCAACAGATTTGGTTAAACAATATACCTAAAGGATGTTATAATCAACCAGTCCAAGATTCTTTAATAACACTAACAAATTACCGTAGAACAGATTGTAGAATATATCACAGTAACAATATTTACTGTTTACCGACCAACTCAGTAACCTTAGGACCTTTTTTGACATGTCCTAATTATCTCATCAATCGTATCTGACTCTAATGCACCAGAAAACATTAGAAATCAAAGTATAAATTGAAATAAAACAATAATCAAAGGAAAAGGATCTACAGGTCGGACATCGAGCTGTTCTCACCGTGAATCCAAAGGCCCGCATGTCTCACATCTCCCGCTCTCCGCCTCTGTCGTCAACGGTCTCCTTCTCCTCTACATCACACATACACACAGAGTTAAGATTTCGTAAACCGGAACAAGCTTTGCTTTAGGGAGTTCACATACTCATCGTCGGAGTGACCTTCCCTGCACGCACCGCTCTCCTTCCGATCCCCCTTACTGCATGCAGTGACGTCCACTCAACCACATGCATGCGGCCGAATCCACCTCATCGTCGCGCCGTAAGCACATATCTGGTCCGTCGATCGCGCAGATCAAGTTGCTACCGATTTGTAACTGCCTCTGATTCTCTTTCGTCATGCGACTATGATGCCTCACCTAACGGATCCAATCGGACCGCATCACAGCTGCCAGCCCTCCCTGCCACGTATTGGGGGCGACCTCAGTTCACGACACGCACACGAATCTCCTGCGTTCTCTCATCCATAGTGGTAAATCTGTCTTTGCCTCCCGATCGGTCGCACAGAGCCGCCTTTCTCCTCTCTCCCGCTCGATCTTTCGTCACGCTGCCTCTCCCTTCTACTAGGATTTTCTTTCAATTGGGAGCAGCAAAGAAAAGGAGGCTTTTATAGGGTTTGGGGAGCTGTTTGATCTTAGTGGATGCATCTGGGCTATTCGTTATTTTATTTATTTATTCATTTCAAAAGTGTCAAAAATTAAATTTTTAACACACCCTAATGCGAAATTAAAATTCCTAAAGCATGAATTTCACTTTGGATTTTAATATACGTCAAACAGGGCATTATAATTCTCCCTCAATTAAAAATTTGATCATCCAAATTTATAGTGATTCGAAAATAATATTATATTTTTATAAGGTTCCTCTTTGACACAATAGTGTCAATATAACTTTTTCACTTAGTGGGATCATTTTGAATTAAAATCTTTTTCTCAACTTTAACTAGTAAGGATATAATTTTTTAAAAAGTCTCTTTAATTTAAAATTATAATATTTAGGGTTTTAATGGTACTTCAGTATAATTTCCTTACGAACATTTGATTTAGCTCAGAAATATCATCTAGACTACTTGATGTGAGCACAAACAAACCACAAAAAACCCAAA